GGAAAATTTAAGGGGTAGTTATATAATAATTTTGGACGATCTCGGGCGGTCGGATACTTATGACCGCTACTGTATAAGGAGCTCCTCTAATTTTCGTAACATGAGGGTTTGTTGTTTGGGCTATCAAACGCTATTGTAAGGGAAGTATTTCACTATCACTTTGATTATTTTCATTATTGTTACTTCTTACAGCTATATTCTCTTCTAAATTATCTTCATTACTATTTGTTTTGGATAAAATAAAGCTTTTTAACATTTGAACTAACTCATTATCACTCTTAGTTTCCAACGCGATATTAATTGCTGTTTTCGCAGTTGAGATCGCTACTCTGAACCTATTTCTTTGAGGAATAACTTGTTGTATATTTTCTTTATAGTCAGACCCTTGTATATGTTTTAAACTTTTGAGAGTAAAATCTACTTCATATGGTGTTGCACTATTAGTAGATATTGCTGTAAGGACTGGTGAATTTTTAAGAACATTATCAAATTTCATTAGAATCTCGTCTTTATACCATCTAACGGGTATAATACTAATATGAAACTTCGCTGCATTTGAATAAAGTATCACATGCCAAAAATGGCGACAAATTATCCCCTTAGTGATTGTTTCTAAACAGGTGCAAATGTGGGTTCTGTCATTAAAAAAAGCTACCAGATTGCTTTTACAAGAAACGCTTCTGATTCGGTAAATTTTCTATGTTTCAACTATTTTTGTCACATCTATACCATTTAACATAGCTTTTAATGTTATTTGGGTTCATCATCTACATCTTCTACAAAATTATTATCTATCGTGTCGGCATCTTTGTCCTAAAATAAAATACTGTGGTTAGCTCTTGAATAAATGGTACACGATCAAGCTAGTTATATTATTATACCTTGTATCTCAGATAAATATGATACCAATTGCCCTTTGTATATGAATGATTGTGAAACCTGAAACCGCTGCCAAGATAATATAAGTGGTGATAAGAATTCCGTAAAAACCTTATCAATACTTGAAAAAAATTGGGAAAAAAAATGCAGAAGGCCAATCATTGTATATTGCGTCTTAATATTTGATAATTGACAATATCGTATTTCTTCTTCTTACCTCTTGTCAATTGCTGTTTCAACATCACAAAGCGTGCTGACACCATTTAAAGACTTTTTGATAATATTATTAAATGATTCTACGCTTTGGGTGCTTTGTATGCCAGCATTAAATTGTAATGGTAAATAAGCCTTAGTCCAACTGATTCGATTGGTATATAATCTGGCCATGTAATTTTCACACTTCGGAAAATTTTCTATCATTAACTTCCAGCATTTCTCAAAAATTTCTACACATAACGCATTTCTGCAGATATAGAAAGCCTTGGCGAAATGGTTGAAATTTGAACCCAACTTGGCTTTAAGATGTTTTATAACATTTTGCCAAATATGAAATAAGCAGTAAAAATGTGGTGTGATAGGAAAGACTTGCGAAACGGCATTAATCAAACCAGGCTCAGAATCTGTCCAAAATGATTTTGGGGATACCCGTTGCTTTTAATAAACATTGAAGAATCTATGTATACGTTGAAGACATTTCATCTTTCACTAGTGCATTTGTGATATTCTGAAACCTTCCATAGTTATCTTTAACCATAAAAATACTTAAATACATGTTGTATTTATTTGTTTTACAGGTGTTGTCATTTAAAACTACATCCGAAAATCGTTGATATAGTTCTTGTTGAATAGGAGACATTCAAAAAATACTGGATAAATGGTGCTCATTACCAACATGTCGAATGTAAACTTTCCAACGTGGATCTTGTGATACTTTTTCAAAAAGAATGTCAAGCATCGAAGTAGTATCAAACTTCTCATTTTTGTTACTTTTAAGTAGCTATAAATTGCATTGTAAACATCCCGCTTATGAAATACATGCTTCGGATACTTTTTTTAAGTATCTCTAACTGCGTAATAGGGGCCACTTTGCAGTCCATAAAAAAATTTAAGTCCTGAATTATTTCTTTACTAAAACGTCTATATCTAGCAATAACATTTAGTATTTGGGTGGGATTTGTTTCGTGATTGTGTGTACCTTTCAACAAAGTACATCATATTTGATTTATAGTTTTCAGAAACGTAAAGTTGCAGTGCCATTCACAATCTGTTTTGACAGTACCACGTAGACGGTGTATTGTATGGTCAACCACTTTTCGAGCTTTATAAACACCACTTGATGAACATCAAAACGATTTACGACAGATGATAGTGGAATCTTTTGGGTCCTTATCATTACGAAAAATTTGATAACCGAAGCCTCATTCAAAGCAGTATTGATGCATAAATGCATCGACTGACAACCAATAATCAAAACTGTCACTAACAGCGAGGTTATATTGATAATTAAAAGGATTCGATATATCATTGAGTAATTCAAAAGTGGGGATATCAGAATCAGAAATATCATTAAGTGGTTCAAGATGTTGTATATTACTGTTAAGAGATAGTGGTTCAGAGTCTAGTAAAAAATTCAAGTCTGGTAAAAAGTTCACATCATTGGTAAGAAAATTATGATATAGCGAAATATCATCAAAGTTCTCATTAAAGAAATTAAAAGTATCAGAAAATAAGGCTTCATTATAACCGTTAGAACCACAAGAATAAAGCGTATCAAGTTCCATATTGTTTGAAAGTATTATAAATATCCAAAGAAAACAGATACTAAACAAAAGAAGAAAATGGTGTAAATTCTAAACAGAAGAAGAAAAATGGCATTTTTGGCAAATAATTATGTAACATCACGCGTATCGATGAAATTCACCTCTGGTAAAATTCACCAGAGTAAATTTTACTGTTTTTTAAATTTCTTGTGCAGATCGTGGTAAAATTCGCCACTTCAGAGTAAATTTTACTGTTTTTTAAATTTCTTGTGCAGATTGCGATAAAATTCACCATGGTGAATTAAAATGAAATTCACCTCCGATGAGCATAAAATTAATCCTTTATTTGTAATTAATTTTGAAATTTTAACGAAGTCATATGATTGCTAGCAATACTAATGCACAGTAAAATTCAGAAAATCCAATGTTATACATAAATTAATCATGAGAATTGCTTTTACATATAGGATCGACAAAATGCATTTTGCAATTTTCACATGAAAAAAAGCTAATTGCCGACATTTACTTATATATTAACAATATTTTCTAACAGGTCTAGCCTTTTGATATTTTAAAGTAAGAATAATTAAGTATTGTAAGTTCTAATTATTAATTTATTAATGCTACTATAACAATAGTTTTAAATGATCTTGAGTTTGAAATAAAAAATAAATTTTACTGTGACGCAGTAAATTTGCGATATATTTAAAAGTTTTTCATATTAAAATTTAAAGCTAATTAATACTTATATAATTCAAAATTTATGATTAATGTTAATAGATAAAAATGTATGCTAATTTATTTATAATTGAATACATTTATAATGCAGAATATGTGAGTTAACTTCAAAAATAATATGCGCGAATTGCAGAGAACTCTAAAAGAAGAATCGCATTAACATTCATAATGAATGTTGAAATTAAATAGCTAATTTTATTTTTTTTTTTTAGATTCGTCTTCAACTAACTTGATTTTCTTAGTGATTAATATAAAATTGAGGACAGTTCAATTCGGTCTGGATGTGATTTTATCGTTCCAATCGAACGATGCTTTTATCGTTCGTTTGGAGCAATTGTTTTTTCGTTCTTTTAGAACGATGATTTATCGTTCCAATCGAACGATGCTTTTATCGTTTTTTTGGAATGATGATTTATCGTTCCAATTGAACGATTCTTTTTGTCGTTCGTTTGGAACAATGCTTTTATCATTCTTTTGGAACAATTTTTTTATCGTTCTTTTAGAACGATGATTTATCATTCTAATCGAACGATTCTTTTTATCGTTCGTTTGAAATGATGCTTTATCGTTCTTTTGGAATGATTTTTTTATCGTTACAATCGAATGATACTTTTATCATTCTTTTGGAACGATGATTTATCGTTCCAATCTAACGATACTTTTATCGTTCCAATTGAACGATTCTTTTTATCATTCTTTTGGAACGATGATTTATCATTCTAATCTAACGATGCTTTTATCGTTCCAATTGAACGATTCTTTTTATCGTTCTTTTGGAATGATGATTTATCGTTCCAATTGAACGATTCTTTTTATCATTTTTTTGGAACGATGATTTATCATTCTAATTGAACGATGCTTTTATCGTTCTTTTGGAACGATGATTTATCATTCCAATCGAACGATTCTTTTTATCGTTCATTTGGAACGATGCTTTTATCATTCTTTTAGAACGATGATTTATCGTTTCAATCGAATGTTTCTTTTTATCGTTCATTTGAAATGATGTTTTTATCATTCTTTAGAACGATGATTTATCGTTTCAATCGAACGATTCTTTTTATCATTCCAATTGAATGATTCTTTTTATCATTCCAATAGAACGATGCTTTTATCATTCTTTTGGAACGATGATTTATCGTTCTAATCGAATAATGCTTTTATTATTCATTTGGAACGATGATTTTATCGTTCTTTTGGAATGAACCGGCCGATTTTTGGATTGATTTTTATCATTATGCAATCTGAAACCGAATCGAAGTCGATTTAAACTGAAAATTTTCAGATTAATCTGAAATGTTCAGAGCATTGTATAGACCGAAGTAAGGGATTTTTTACTTTATTTGTTTTAAAAAATTAGAAATACTTACCTTTTGCAAATTAGCAAAGGTAGGGGATTCTTTACCTATTTTCGTTTAAAAAAAATTAGAAGCACTTACCTTTTGTAGATATGTAAACCGAGATAAGGGATTCTTTACTTTTTTTTATTTAAAAATATATTAGAAAAACTTACCTTTTGCAAATGAGCTGAGGTAAGGAATTCTTTACTTTTTTTGTTTAAAAAACACTTACCTTTTGTAGATACATAGATTGAAGTAAGGGATTCTTTACTTTTTTGTTTAAAAAAAAATTAGAAGCATTTATATTTTTTAGATATGTAGACTAAGGTAAGGGATTCTTTACCTTTTTTGTTTTAAAAAAATATTAGAAATACTTACCTTTTGCAAATAAGCTGAGGTAAGAAATTCTTTACTTTTTTTGTTTAAAAAGCATTTACCTTTTGTAGATACATAGACCGAAATAAGGGATTCTTTACTTTTTTGTTTAAAAAAAATTAGAAGCACTTACCTTTTTTAGATATGTAGACTGAGGTAAAGGATTCTTTACTTTTTTTGTTTAAAAAAATATTAGAAATACTTACCTTTTGCAAATGAGCTGAGGTAAAGAATTCATTACTTTTTTTGTTTAAAAAGCAATTACCTTTTTTTAGATACATAGACCGAGGTAAGGGATTCTTTACTTTTTTGTTTAAAAAAAAAATTAGAAGCACTTTTTCTTTTGTAGATATGTAGACCAAGGTAAGGGACTCTACCTTTTTTGTTTAAAAAATCTTTACCTTTTATAGAATTTAAAATTAAAAAACAAATTTAGTAAACTTACCTTTTGTAGATCTTATAAATCTTTAAATTACTTGACATAGTATAATAGCGTCAGGAGAATTAATTCTTTTTTTCAATAATAAATGCTTTAATTTATATTTTCAGCTTTAATTTTATTTTGGTTTTTTTAGTCCAGATAATCTTAAAAGCTTTACTATTTAATTTTTAGACTGGGTGATCCATTTGATCTCAGAGAATTTACTACTTAAATTTTCATATTAGATAATCCATTTTACTAGTTATGTTTTAGAGTTATAATTATTGTATTTTTCATATGTAAACACTAAATTCAAATTTTTTTTTTAAATCTATAAAAGTATCATCTAACACTTATTATAATAAAAAAAATAATTCAAAAAAGTTACATTTTATCTTAAATTTATTTTTCTTTTTACAATAATTTCCTTTATAATTTTTTTCTTTAAAAAGTTTATAACACTTACTTTTTCACATAATTCATTTTCTCTTGCTTGTTTTTATTTTTAATAAAATAATAAAATAACAATGTCAGAATTGCTAAATGATACAAAAGGTAAATATTTATTAATGTATTGATGATATTATGATTTTTTATTAATTATTATTTTTTTAATTTTAATAGAATTGAATGAACAAAGTGACATTTGAAAAAATGTTTTTATTGATGAAGATGATTTTGAATATAATTATTTAAATAAAGAAGATGATATAACAAATTTGGATGATGATAATTTGAGTTCAACAACATCAAATATTAATAGCGATACAACGGAAAATACAAGTTATAATGAAGAAATTTTACCATTTACATTAGATAAAATAGTATTAGAAAAAGCTCAAGAAATAATAAATGCAAATAATAACGATAATGATGATAGGATTAATTGGAATGATATTAATTTTGAAAACTTAGAAACAGAATCAATTATAACAGAACAAATAGAAGAAGAAAATAATTATCAAATCGAAAGTAAATCTAGTGAGTTATTAACATCTTGTGCTGTTTTAGATATGAAAGATAATAGAATACAGAGTTGTAAAAATAAAACATTAAATCAACGTCCTTTAGCACAATTAATTAGTATATGAGAAATTAATAGTGAAATAGTTATTAATACCAAAGTAGAAAATAAATTATATACATTGGAAGTATGCATGTCTCATTACAGTTTTGACCAAAATTCTCTCTATAATCCAAAATTAAAACAACAATGATCAGTAGAAAAAAGTTGGATTTATAAAAGACGGTATTTATTTTGTAATAAATTTAAGTATTTTTTTAGTTGTGAAAATAATTGTTTACAACATTCAGTAAGCATAGTTGGAAGAAACATACAAGTACCATGTGCTGGTCTTAAAATCTGTCCTGTTTTTAATATACAAAATATAATTATTAACAAATCAGTTAATGAATTTAGAACGTGTTATATATGTTCAAAATGCTTTAATTTAAATGGTAGACATTTTTTTGAACGTCAAGGTAGTGAAAAAAAATCTACTATAATATGTAAAAATAAACATGAGAATGATATAACAAATGCATTTGAATTAATTGGAAGATGGATTTTAAATGTAGCATCATTAGGAGAAAAAAATCAAAAAGAAAAATTATTAACAGAATTAAGTTCAATATTAACTATATTTGATCAAACAGGATCAACAATAACAACAACAACATCATCAACATCATCAACATCAACTGTATCAACAACATCAATAATATCAACAAAATTATTACAAGAATTACCAAGTTTATTTCTTATAAAAATGGCTTTATGTATTGGAAAAGTAAATATTGTAAAAATAATGGATAGAAGTAATGATTTTAA